TTTTCCACCAAACCCAACAGGAAAAAAAAATTCAGTGCAAAAGAGAAACCCTGATAAAAAAAGCCTAAAAACACGCTAAAAATACCCCCAAAACCCAAACCTCTGCTTGGAGAGTAACCCACATGTACAGTTCGTCTCAAAGCACTGGAAAGACATTGTACTTAAAAGCGGTAAAAGTCTTTTAGAAATGCGTCGAAATAACATGAATAAAATAAGCATTTCCTGAAACGTTTCTTGAAGTTTCTTGAGGCTATTTGAGCGAAGGCTGTCTTAATAAAAGCTTTTACCCCGCACCCTCTTTGATACATGATGTTTACCCCAATCATCTGATATTAGCATTCTGAACGTGCGACCCTATCAACGTGCACGAAATAATCAACATACTTTCTCCACAAACCCTTTTTGTCCATGATCTTCATTATTGCTATCACGTATGAACTACTCATACTTTAACTATACATGTTGATAAAGTGGCAAAATAGACCCAAAACGTTAGGGAAATCGATATATTTCTGGTTCTATTGTACCACGTGATATCGTTAAATCAGGATGGCCCAGGTCGTTGAATGTCCTTGAAGGTCGGTACGACGTGGTCACATTCGTCCGAGGTCGTCGTACGATTTTCAAGCAGGGCGTAACAGAACCAACGCCGCGCATAAAAGGATCTAATATTCTAGCATTTCGTAACAAGACGACAAACACGTGCACGACTATACCAAGAACGCATTCATGAGCTTGTGTCACCTTACGACGATCGCACGACGCATGTGACCGAGCCCTCTGACACTGTACGTGTCACATGTTTACCAATTACACAAGACGTCACAACAAACAGAGTTTTCATAGACGATCCCGTCACATTCTGGTAGGCACAAATCGTAACAGACGTCCTGACAGGTTGACCCTGGTCATTACAGGCACGACAACACTGGACTCTCGGTTTTGTGTAATCGGTTTACCCAGTGGCCAAGAAAATGCGATTTTTATCATAATGTAGACTTAGACTGAGACACCAAGACTCAGTGACAAGCCTACCTCTTTCTTGCTCGCCATTTCTTCACACCTATCCGTCGCGAGTCTTCAAGAATGATGAAAACGTGCCGATGTTTTTGTCCCCACACCGCGATAAGCAGTAACCCGGATGACTTCACTGCGTTAACTAACAACAATGCTCTGGGTGGACCTTTTAAAAAAGAGTTGACCTGGCAACGCCTGCCAGAGGTGACGTACGTGCCGTTCCCTCCCAGTTAGTCACCAAGATTATCCCGGCCAAATCAAAGTGTCAGGCCGGAAAACTTACATATGGTGACGCCAGCAAAGGTGACTAAAAATTGAGATAAAGAAAAGGGGGCGTGGCTATCGTTTGTGGATGGAATACATGTCTGACCCAAGACTTTGCTTGAATATTGAAGGGATTGGTCCCTGAACGAACATCCAACACGAGGTTTCAAATGTATGAAAATTGAAATCAAAGGAAGATGTGATATTCGTCATTTTGAACTGTTGTGCAATAACCGTTTACGCCGGGATTCCCCAGTTAATGAGCCCCTGCCCCTGCCATGCCCCGGAGATGTGCGTAATAGAACAGGATCATCCAGATTTGGGATCTACCATTGGGTCATCACCCTCGGGGGTTGTTGAAGCGAGATGATTTAATCTGACTACGCCGTTTAGGCCATACTGGTTTAATTTTATGGATGACATCCTCTGGGCACCCCAGAACTGATACAAGCATGCAAAAAATGCCTTCATTATAAAATGGTGCACCTGAGCAGCTGCTGACCTGTAACTTTTCCGTTTTCAAATTTCAACAAGACAAAAAAATAATAGTCCATCTTTATAATTTTCAATTATTCTCGTTAGTTAGTGGTGGTAAGAAGTATACAATGTATATCTGTGTGTCTTTTCTATATCTACATGAAACTTTGATTTCCTGACACAATTTGTGAAAAGTAGTGCTGATGAAAAACTGGGAACTCAGTCTACTAACGAACGTTACCATTGTTTTAAAAGCAATCTTATTCTGACAGTGAGCACTTTCTGTGCTATAATACTGGATTTCCTGACAATGAACAGCAGCATTTTGTATCATACATCAGTATTGTTTGTACTTTGCCACTGTGTCAATATGTCAAAAGTCTACCTGCACATGAATATGCTTTGCAGACTGTAATAAAATACACTTGTCACAACATTGTGTATACACTTATACATATATATGTAGCTTAAATGTTAGCAGCATTGAGGTTAATGTCCTACATACACTTAAAAGTTTCAAACTTGCATAGAGCTGTGCAAAGTGGTCCTCTGTTTGCCACTACTGACAGTAAAATGTTCATAAAAGCCTAATATATACAGATAACACTATACATAAGAACTGATATATGATATGTTGATGATCAGGTTAAAGGTCAGAGGTTTAGGTAACAGGTCACGTTAGTCGGGAGGGAATGGTGTTGGTTGGTTTGAAGATCTCGTGCTTGGCGCCGGAGTTGGCGTACATCCCGCTCTCGTCCTGCCACGTGTTGATGCCCCAGCGCCGGTAGTCGGCGGTGTCCGTAAACTGGGAGTGGCACTTCTTGTACGCTTCGGAGTTATCGGGGAAGTCTGGGGGCTGCTCCTGTGGAAGTGGGTTGGTAACACAAGTCAGTAAACCTAACGTCTTACATGTCAGCCTTTTGGTACCAAATTTGTATTGGTTATGTGGTTAATTAGTTAGCAGGGGAATTTCTATTGTTGCTCAAGCCTCTTTCACAGACTTCTGATGTGGCGGCATTCATTTTTTGGGGGGAGCAACGTTAGTTTATTTGGGGCAGCAACGTTAGTTGTGCCACGGGACAGTTTTGCCACCGAGGGACCTTGCCGGGGAGAGACGGTTTACATGTTGCTCCCCCAAAAAAAGTTAAAGCCACCGCATCAGAACTCTGCAAAAGGAGGCTATTGTTGCCCAGTGAAGTATAAAAACTACAGATACAACTTTGTAACGAGTCATTCTTCAAAGTCAACATAGCAAACTCAGCAAAATGTACTTACAGGTACAGGTGTGTATGGGTAGGGGGCCTTGTAGTCAGCCCTGTGTGTAGTCTCCAAGTGCCTGTCAAATATCAACAACTTTATTAAACAATAGTCAGTACACAAGTTGTGACAAGTAGTGAACTCTCGGTGCAACTACTGGACACACAGCTAGACAATGCATTTGGGCTATTGCAGTACAACAGAGACTGAAGAAAGTTTTCATGATGTTCTCTTACCTTTTGCCATAGTCTGCCTGATGTCTGGGTAGCACGGCACCAAAGCCACTGGTGGGGGCTCCTGTGTCCCTACAGACAAAGAAACAGGAATGTAAGGAGACTCCTCTAGCAGCAAAGTTATCATCGGGTCCAGTTAACATTACATTATCCAGATACCAGTGTTTAATTTCTTCTTCATATAGCAACAGCTGATTTCCACAGACCAGACTGAAAAATTACAAAACTATCTCTCTGAATACAACCCACATTAGCCTTCAAAGCCAAACAAGACTAACAAAAGATCAAAGATTTCAGACTACTGGGAAGTGTTTGGGGTTTTTATGAATGTATTTCAACTTTGCTGGGTTACCTCCAGGCCAATATAGGTCAATCAAGAGTACACATATGTATGCACTCACCCTGTAACTGCCTCTGATGGACAAACATACACACAAACACACAGACAACCTGCCCAAAGCAATACTTTCATACCCAGAAGTAAAATTTATAATGCCTGACCAGTGACCCACCTGTCCAAATTGAGATGGTTAATGGTGGCGAGGTCACCCATGGGTTTACTGGTCACCTTCTCTTCAAAATCCTTCTTCAGTTTCACCTGACCCATCTGGAACTGGGTGGTGGTCAGAGGGAAGGACTGAAGGGGAGAAAGGGAAATAGATTACTTGCCTTGGTATAAAATCAAACCAAACCCAAACGTCTGCTGTGAGGTTACGCCTGGAAAAACACACTTGACAGTTTTCTGATAGGCCTACTCACTCCATCTGTAACGTCCAGTATCCTCCGGTAGGTGGAGTGGTGCATCTTGTTTTTCATGGGAGGTTTGTTCACCACATCATAGTCCTTGGGATGGGCCTCTCGTGCCTGGTGCCTGAAATTTTAAAGAAAAATTAGTTTGTAAATGTCACAAAAGTTCTGTCCAAACTGTCACAATTGTTTAGGTGGTCAGCCAGGTTGCTTGGATACATAAATTATATTTAGTTTTATACAATTTTTTTCTTTTTTTACACTAAAGTGACTTTCAGCATTTAAGCATGTAGGTAGGAAATTTCTACCTCCATGCTTTAAGAGCTACTAGCAAAAACTTGGGGCAGTCAAAGCAGTTACTTACAAACAAAACATGGAACCAAGAACAACCACTATACTACTGTTACCACACCACAAATTTGTATTTAGCACCAACAAAAAGCTGGGCAAAATCGAGCACACTGGCACTTCAAACTTTCCAACCTTTCCAATAGAGAGAAGAAAATAGCAGCCAACTGCAAGAGAAATAGATAACTACTACCAAGGACATTATACAAGGTTATACAAGAAAGATCTTGTATAATGTCCTTTCTAATAGCAATACTGATTCCTGAGAGTCCTCAACACACAATCAATATAAAGGACAACGAAATCTGCAGACTGACCAGTTGGAGTTGAGCGTTACCGGACTGTAGTCCATGTGATCTGAACGCAGATAGAGGGAGCCTTTCCTCTCCACAAAGTTAGGCAACATCCCGTAGTCGTAATTCTCCATGTTTCCTTCTAGGTTGAGCAGCGAAAAGTATGTCTTGACTTCGGTGCAACAGGTTGGGCGTGTGTTGTGGTGTGTTTGGGTTGCAATACGGAAGTAAGGCCTATCACTTCTCAGCTGGCTTACATATCCATCCGCTTCAGAAAATAATCAACACAGCTTTTGCTTTTTTTGGGCACGAATGGTTAAAATAACGATTTTTGTTGCATTCTAAAAATGTCTTCGGTAGAGCTTGTACACTAAACTAGCACGAGAATACTGACATTTGTCTGTAACTACTTTGCTAAGTTCCGCGCGGAGTGATATGTAATGGTCTGCGTTCTAGAATAAGTCTGTAAACTATCTCGTTGCCAATAACAACAAGGCGTCTCCTCCTAGCGGAATTTGTATGGACTGCATGAATTAAACCAAACCTGCCTCCCCTGACAGGCGTGACAGGCGAAGTGTCACTTGAGTACTTTATCGGTTAACCATGAAATTATTGATTAAATAGGTATTAGTGTGATTTTCTCGCTGTTTTTTTTAGCACTATTAAAAGCACATGAAGACCAGCACCGCCCTGGTTTTGGACACGGGGGAAGCCTACAACGCACTTTACTGGACGGAAACCAGTCGACAGAAGCATTATCACAGTGCGTTTTCAGTCAAGACATGGGAAAACACCCTAACGTGTAGTTCAGATATACGCATCGATGACGCGGAGTACAATGAGAAGGAACAGTTCTAACGTTATGTGTTCCGCTGCATTACAACAGAAAGTCGCTAGGAGGCTCGTGATCGATATCTGTGTATACAGAAATAAAGGAAATGCATTTAGCTGTTCAAGTTCAAGCCCCTCTCCTATTACTCCCCCAACCAATGCCTGACATCTGCTGCCGTTGAGTATGCAGTACCCAAATATATCGCTACGTAGCGCTGTGTTGCATGACTACGAATCAGGTTGGCACCAAAAGATCGTTTTATCGGAGAAGATTGACACCTAGTAGAAGTGCAATTTTGGCCGGTAGCGGATCGCGGGGAGCGAACGAAAGCTACAAAGCCTGACACCCAGGCTAGATATACCTTTCACACCTTACCAAGCTCAGTTAGACTCACCAAAGGTATTAGTTATAAATATATCTATTCAATGAAAACATTCAATGAGGGAACGAGCAAAGTTATAACCGCCAACGGACGGAGAAAAAGAAACGTTGTACATGTATTGTGCCATTATCGGAAACCCATGCATTTGCACGCGGGGATCTATGTTCTGTACAACAGAGCGAAAAGTTGCAGTTATATATAAAATAGTCTTTGAGTAATAAATTGTTGTTCACATTCTTTCCAAGGGACCCTTTCAATTGTGTAATTGTGAAAACACATTTTCATTCATTTTTTTTTCCAATTGCCATGCCCTAGCTGGTTTCTGATTGCCATGCCCTAGGTCGTAAGGTATAGAAAACACGAATCTCCCTGTAGAGACAACACATTAGATATTCTCCGACCCGCCACACCCCGTGGTGGTGGTGGTGAAACCCCGTAATTACCGGGCATTAGGACAAGTGGGTGACAACAAGCGCATCGCTGCGAAAGCGCATTGAACCGGGCGGCATTTACATTACAACCGCGGGCGATACCACGACGCGATTCTTTAGGGGCGATATACAATGTCGTGCTATGGTTAACCAGTCTGTACTACCCAAAAACATTGCAATAAAGCTTACATGGCATTTTATATCTATTTTATTGGTTACATTGATCATACGAATGACAAATATTAAGCCTAAGTGATCCATTTGTTCCACAAGTGTGAGCACAGCAAATCAAGACACCCCTCTTACAGGTGGTTGCTTTCCGGTGCTCGCACCAGCGCGACTGCAATAGCTGGTGGCCGTACATACAGTGGGACATCCCTGTACACTATGGCGGGACAACACGCGCTTGTCCTGCTGACCGCCGCCGTGCTCCTCCTGCAGACATGCCGGGGGCAGGTTCTGACTCCCCCGTACTTAAACCTAGCTCAGGGGCGGCGGATCGTCGCATCGGCCACTTGCGGAGAAGGCGTTTCCGAGCCGGAGCTGTACTGTAAGCTGGCCGGCGGGACCGGTAACGAGCCGGCTAACCTGATCCAAGGCCAGCAGTGCGACTACTGCGACCCCCGGGACCCCTCACGGGCTCATCCCGTCTCACAGGCGGTGGACGGCACCGAGAAATGGTGGCAAAGCCCTCCCCTGTCTCGAGGAACGGACTACAACAAAGTCAACGTCACCATCAGCCTTGGACAGGTAAGTTAATAATGACAGTATTTCCGTCCTGTCTTCCCGCATCTTGTCATTATTGCCCCATATGATGCACCGCTCAGGATTGAACTCCTATTTCAGCGCTGATTATAGGATCACACTATCCCTCCCCTGTCTAATTTTGCCATACATATAAGCTGATTACGGCAGGAAGCCTTATATGACCTATGCGGACAAGATCAGAATTTTTCCCGCCCCCGCAAGTGCGATATGCTTCTAGCGATTTCTGTTCCTGCCGCTATCGCCAAGGACAGGGCAGTCAGCTTCCGTGTGTTACGAGTGACCCACTGAGGTAGTGGCTTCCCTGCAGGAAAGTTTTATCACCAAATCGTAAACCTTGTCATGATTACAAAAAGTACTGTGCTTTGTTCTCTGATATGTTTTGAAAGTCTGTACAGAGATTTACAATATCGTTAATGTACGCCCCCTAATGTCAGACATCCTCACAGAAAGGATGTCACAGACCAACGATTCCGCCCCGTAAGTGGCCCTCTTCCTCGGCTGTGACGCCTGTGTTCGGCTCGTTCATCGAATTATCGGAGGGCTCGGAGAGAGGACAATTTAATAAGCGGGCCGCGGTGTTCTTGTTAGTTTGCGCTGGTGCGTACTGTGTGCATCTGCGGGACGAGGAATGCCCTGAGCCGTAGACAAACCCACCTGTTCGCCGGGATGTTTAGACTTAGAGCATCGCTATGTCTGTTTGTCTGAGAGAGAGCGAAAGCAAACACCTCTTCTCTCCGGAGCAGACGTCGGGACGATAGGATGTACAAACAAGAGCGCCCTTTCCATCCAGCGTTTCTCCCCCGGTCTTTTATCATTCTAATCACTGCCTCTTTTTCCTCGTGAATAAAAGGAGCGCTCAGAGGGGATTTTCAATGAGCGACAATGTCTGGCTCCCTTGGCAGGCTGAACCCAGCCTGGTGTGGTTAAATCAAAGTAATTACCAGTCAGGAAAAGGTCAGGGAGTATGTATGTTGGTGTGCTAGAGGCTTGTTCATTCTGGAAGTGTACCGCAGTGCGGTAGGTGTGAGGACAGGTACAGGCAGATGTCTGTCTGCAGGGGAACACCCCGCGGGCATGTATGCATCTCTCTGTGCCGTGCTACAGGGATCAGGTCAGGCAGCTGACACACCAGTGTCCATCCAACCCGCTATACTGCCACCGACAACCCTAGAAACAACACTGGAGTCAGAAGCGCACGTGAAGGTTTTATATGGAGCTGATAAAGGTTTTGGTTTGAACACTGTTGAGTACATGAGAATAAAAAAGGGGCATTCTTATCTCAGTGTTGTGCATGGGGTTAGATGATAATCTCATTCACACCCATTCCTACTGTCGTCCCCGGACGGGGAGGGCACAAAGGCCGACATATGCACAAAAATGCCACCAAACGAATGCATAGATCTAATTTCCTGGGCCCGAATTAGTGGAAACCTCTCACGGGACTGGGGTGAATCGATGGATGAAATCATGCGTCATTCCCAGACGCACAAGGTAGCAAAATGCTGAAAAACTAATCAAAAACTCCCACTTATCACTTCTTATTTATCATAAATACAAATTCCTAGGACAATTTCCAGTGTACAAAAGTGCACGTGTAAAAATCTTAATGACTTTTTTGTGAAATTTTCATATCTTGTCGTGGTGCGAACAGGTAATGTACGTATGTGTCCCGGGACATTTGAGTTATTTCAGGCATCCCTTTACCGTGTTACCCTTTGCATAGTCATTTCGTGACCGCGCATTCTACACACTACCTGTGCCGACACAGAACCAGACTTTTCAAAACAGGCTGCCAACTCTCTAAACCTGGGAGACACCAGCTGATGTTTTTACGATATGCACGACCCTTTACAGTTTACATGTTTGCATGGAACTTAAGTAGCATCTCACAAATGAGGAAAATAAAAAGAATCATCCCTCCATTTCTGTTTTGCCAAGTAGACGCCTGCCTTAAACAAAATACTCATAAAATTCTGACAGAAGGTGGTTTTGTAGTCCATGCGCGTGTAACACAGGTAGCTAGCATGACGGAGTGTGTAATAGTGTCGGTGCGAGCTATGGGACCGTGTCCCCGATAACACCCCATCCCCTAACAGGCCCTTCTGGTCCTGTAATGGTTGTTTACATGCCCGCCTCGTGGATACGCCTTACCTTGTTGGCACAACACGGTAGGTATTCCACTTAATTTGTGTTCGTTTTCCTTTCAAGGATAGTATCCGCTGCGAACAAAAATGTAGTAAAAGATGGGTGAGAAAAAAAAATTCAACAGACGGTCTCTGGAGGAGACAATTTGTCATGGAAATGGCGAGAGGCAGTTGAAAACTTCGCGGCCGGGAAAATCCTATTCAGACTCAGTGTAATCCTTGTTCGAAAGTCTGTTGGAGCGGAGAGCTTTGTTCACGGACAAGAGAGAAAAACAAAGGATTTCATCTGCTTGTAGAGGGGCTTTTCTTTCATCACCGCCGTTTGGCTTCGTTGGTGTTCTTGGTCTAAAGCAGCCGCGAAAAACTGCTCAGTTCACACCGCCGTATTTTCTGGATTTGTTTCGGTCACCGATCCCCTTTGCCAGGAACGTAATAATTGAAATAAGAATTCAATTAGGTTATTTTGTGCCACATTTTCTTTGCCCCCTGTTGTTACTAAGAGGCTGAAAGGAGTCTTTCTTTGTTACATTATTTCTTATCGCCCACGAAAATCCATTCAAGTCATTCTTACTCAGACCTAGATACCCTTCTATCAAAGTTTCATATGATGTCAACCAAATTACCGAATACGTATACATGTACTGAAGGTAATACACCTTGTCTTTGCACTAAAGAGCTTCTGAATATTCCAAAA